CCGCAGCGGAGAAGCGCCTGGCGGTGACGTTCGCAGCTAGTGGCTAGGCTAGGCTAACCACGGTGACGGTCCCTTGGCGCGTGCCCCCCTGGAGTTCTCGGCGTGAGTGGGCCTGAGTCCACTGACTCACTCCCTGCCATCGCTGGCTCCCCCAGCTCTCCTTCGGTCGACGTGGGTGCCAGCAGAGCGAGCCTCCTCCGGTTCAGCTGCTTGCTCCCACCGCCAGTTAGCCTCTGGCTTTCGGGGCTCTGCTGCACTACTGACGGCAATCATCAAAGGCGGCAGACTTGGGGGCATTGATCTCCCTCGCCGACTGCCCCTGCTCCCCCCCATCAGACATGATGTGTGGCTTCTACAGACGGCGCTGCGGAGCAAGGGCTCCCCATCTGCCCAACTCGGCTTCCTGCGTTTTCTGCTGCAGGGACCAAGCATCTCCTTATCTTGCTTCCCAGGCGATGTCTCTTGGCAGGAGGCGGGCCACCCGTCTGCTCACTGACCCAGGTCACTGCTCGCCTCTCGGCCCACGTTCATTAACGCGCATCCAAGGCAGGTGCAGCGACTAACAGTGTGACAACAAAAGCCTGAGTGGGGTGCTCATGTTATGAGTTCTCCCCACAACAGAGGGCGTAGCTGCGCTGCCCCCTGTGAACCCTGCCTCTGACACACAACTGTCTTCTCAGGGCCACCACAACCATCAGACATGATGTGTGGCTTCTACAGACGGTGCTGCGGAGCGATAGCTCCCCATCTGGCCAACTCGGCTTCCTGCCTTTTTCCACCGCAGGGACCAAGCATCTCCTGATCTTGCTTCCCAGGTGATGTCTCTTGGCAGGAGACAGGCTACCCGTCTGCTCACGAAACCAGGTCACTGCTCGCCTCTCGGCCCGTGTTAATTAACGCACATCCAAGGCAGGTGCAGCCACTAACAGTGTGACGACAAAAGCCTGAGTGGGGCGCTCATTTTATGAGTTCTCCCCACATTGGAGGGCGCAGCTGTGGACCCTGCCTCTGACACACAACTGTTTTTTCAGGGCCACCACCAGACTCATAAGAGCAGTTTTCTGACAAATGTTCTCAGAAAAGGAGAGGCTCTCTGTGTGTTCACAGTCTCTCTTGCACACACACACACACACAGACTGCTCAGTTCTACCCCTGCACACACTTGCGCTGCTCAGTTCTGCCCCTGCACACACTTGCGCCTTGGGGTGCACTTGACTTAGCCTTCTCCACAGCCACGCCACGCCCCCCCCCCAAAAAAAACAGCGCCTTCCTTGGGGCTGCGCAGAATGAACAGCTGTCTGGCAATGGCGGAGAAGGCACATCAGTGGCTAGCGGCCATGCACGCGAGCGCACTGCACATGAACGCTCGTCCACTGACGGAGCATTACACACGTTTTTCCAAGTGCGTGGAAGTGCCGCTACACAGAACAGGAATCAGAGTCCTCTTTTATTTGACGATCTGATTCTGATGATGTGCCCCAGACCTGAAGTGGCTTTTCACACAGTGGTGCGGGTGCAGCGCCTGACACAGCTGGTTTTTTGCATAAACCCATATGGAAAGAAAGAAGGACAAACGCTCACCGGTGCCCTCCCAGACTATTTTTACCTGGGAGTGCACTCAGACTCCCATCAGACATGATGTGTGGCTTCTACAGACGGCGCTGTGGAGCGAGAGCTCCCCATTTGCGCAGCTCGTGTCTCTCTTCACCAACTACATAGTACAAAGACAGTTTCACATGCTCATCACAAACAAGTACTGGAGTGTGTGCGTCCCAGTGATTGGTTTACTTCCATCGATCTGTGAGATGCCTGTTTTATTCATGCACCTATTATCCCCAACACAGGAAGTTCCTGCGTTCCTCCTCCTGTGGGGCGCTCTTTTTATGAGTTCTTCCCACAACGGAGGGCGCGGCTGTGGACCCTGCCTCTGACACACAACTGTCTTTTCAGGGCCACCACGAGACTCATAAGAGCAGTTTTCTGACAAATGTTCTCAGAAAAGAAGGAGAGGCTCTCTGTGTGTTCACTGTCACTCTCGCACACACACTTGTGCCTTGGGGTGCACTTGACATAGCCTTCTTCCCAGGCACGCCCCGCTACCACTCAGTAGATGAGGTACCTTTTTGGGGATCCAGCCGGCTGGGGAAGACACTGACTCGGGACTGATAACAAAGGACCTGACCTGACTGACTGGTGCTCCGACAATCTTTAGACTTTATCTATTTCATTGCAGGAGGAGAGTCTCTGTTCTCTGTTCTCTGTTCTCTGTTCCCTGTTCCCTAACTACAAGATTATCTGTTTAAATACTGCTCTACTCAGAATAATTGTAATATTAAATGATCCTTTAAATTGTAATGGTATGTCTGAATTAATTTAGTTGGTATCCCACTCTTGCCACGACATCATCAGGCTGCCCTTAAGCTATTCACTAGCCACTTTATTCTGAGTGCAGTGAAGCGGCGCTAGAACCGCTACGCAGAGCAGGAGTCAGGGTCCTCTTTTGTTTAGATGATCTGATTCTGATGGCTTGAGCCAGACATCACACAGCGGTGCTGGTGCAACTCCTGAAACAACTGTTTTTTGTAATAACTGGACAAGAGTGCTGCGGTGCCCACCCAGACAATCGTCTACCTGGGAGTGCACTTAGACTCTCTTAGCATGAAAGCGAGGCTGTTACTCGCCAGGTGAGAAGTGTTTTCATATCTCCTGCAGCGTGTTGTTCCCCACACAAGAGTAACAGCTCTATCTGTCATGCTTTTACTGGAAACAGTGTCAGCCAGTCATGTCGTAGTTCCTCTCGGTCTTCCTTATACAATGACGTTCCAGAAGTGGTTCATTCGTTTTGGCCTCGACCCAGTGCGCCACAAGAGGCGCGTGCTCACGATTCCCCCCTTGGTCCAATCAGACCTGGAGTACTGGGGAATTCCCACCTTGAGCACACTGGGAGTTCCCCTGGGCAGAGTCACATTACACGTCTCGGTGTTCAGAGACCCGTCTCTGCTCGGCTGGGGAGGCACGTGTCCGTCACAGGCTGTGGAAGGACGGTGGGATCACACCTCATCTTTCTCCACATCAACTGTCAGGAACTAGCTACAATGCTGAAGGTTGTGAAACACCTTGCACTGGTGCTGAAAGGAAGACACGTAGTGGTGCGATCAGACGTTGCAGTATGTCGCACACATCAGACGTCAGGGCGGTGTTGGTTTTACCGGCTGCTGGAAACTGCAGGAAACTCCTGCTCTGGGCTCATCAGAACCTGCTCTCCCTCAGAGCCATGCGTGTCCCCAGCAAGCAGAACCGCGCTGCAGATCTCATATCACGTGGCAGACTTCAGCCCAGCAACTGGAAGCTGAATCCGTCCCTCGTTTAGACAGTGTGGGACAGGTTCGGCCCAGCGGTGGCAGGCCTGTTTGCAGCACGGGAGAACGCGTGGTGCCACCACTGTTTTTCACTGAACGCCCAAGAGGAATGGCTACACATCCTCCTGATACAGTAGCTCCGGAGCACGCAAGCGCTCTTTCATCTGCTCGGCGCGATTCGGCAGTGCCCCGTGTCAGGTCAATGGCTGTGGGCCTAGCCCCTGAACGGGACTGACTGGTGAGCCTAAGGTTGCCTCCAGCGGTCATATACGCAGTTCAGTGCACAAGAGCTCCGTCTATTTCGGCGCCTTAAGCTGCAAATGGTCAGTTTTTCAACGTTGGCGCATGGAGAGGGGCACAGCTCCCACCTCCTGCCCACTGTCTGAAGTGCTGATTTTTTCAACATGATCCTGGTAGAAAGAAGCCTGGCTGTGTCTACTGGGTAAGCTATGCCACTGTTTTCTCTTGCCATGCCAAGTTTTTGGTAAGCAAACTGTGTTTTGCACACCTGCTGGTGAAACGCTTTCTCAGGGGCATAGGCAGACAAGCCTGTGACGTGTTCAGTGGCACCTCAGTGGGATTACTGTACCTCTGGTTTTACATGCGCTCAGGGAACCCCCCTTTGAGCCCATAACAGAAATCTCTCTTAAACATCTCTCTCTGGAAACAGCACTTCTCTTAGCCCTAACTTCAGCTAAGCGAGTGGACCATCTGTGCGTGTAGCCAATTGCTACTAGCAGGTTTTATATCACATAGAAAATAATGAAGATTCACATGTGATGGTAAGATTAGCTATTTGTTTTGACAAACTGTCAAAACACTGACTACATAGATGAAAAGTGGACAGGTCCTTTAGGGGAACAGGAGAAATGTTAGTTCCGGGATTGTGGTCAGTTAGCCCCCCTAGTGGCCATGTCAGGAGTAACGTTGGAGAGTTTTT